TCCAAGTCACCATTTAAGAAGACAATTTTTACATCCATTTGATGAATTTCTAAATTAAAAACACATGCAAATGCAATTAAAACTATAATAGTAATAACTTTAGAAACAAGAGAACATGTATCAAAGAAATCTACACCTTCTACTAGTTTATAACCAATAACAACAAGTCTTGCCTTAAACTTATCTATGGAGCCATCTGTTCTTAATTTTTTCTGAAAAACCCATTTATAGCCTCTACTTTTGCAACAAGGAGGAAGGTCAGTCAAAAACCAAGTTTTATTGACTTTAAGAGAAATTATTTCATCATTAATGGCTTTTTTCAAAAAGGTGCATCAACATATCTCATGAATTCACTATAAGTTTTAGGATCATTTTCAAGTAAGAAAGAATAAAATTCAGGATCAAAATCTTTAGCTTTTCTAATTCTTTTACTAATTCTAGGTTCAAAATCCTTGTTAACAATACTACTAGAAGGTAAAACAGAGCTAGAAGTATCATAAATAGGTTTAGACAATCTATTCTTCAAAGGAAAAATACAACATCTCTAGATTCCATAATTATATTATTATAAATTTCAACAACTTTAGAATTAATAACTAAAAATCTATAAGTAGTATTATGTAAAGAATATCCCAAAAAAACACAATCAACAGTCTTGGGACTAATTTTTCTTTTCTTATTAATAGGAATATTCACCTTTGCAAGACACTCCCACACTTTGAGATATTTCAAATTTGGTTTTCTATTTTTTCAAAGTTGATAAGGGGTTTTATCTAAATTTTTATAAGGAATTCTATTCAAAATGTGACATACAGTAAACAAAGCTTCCCGCCACGAATTATCAGGAAAACTAGAACTTATAAGCATAGCGTTTATCATGTCTAATAGAGTACAATTTTTTCTTTCAGCAATTCCATTAGATTGAGGAGCATAGAGAGGAGTGACTTCATGAATAATGCCATGTGATTCAAAAAATTCACCCATTTCATTAGAAGAATATTATCCTCCTCTATCAGAACAAAGAATTTTAATATTCCTTTCTAATTGATTTTCAACTTCTGCTTTATAAACTTTGAATTTATCAAATAACTCATTTTTACGAATAAACAAGTATACAAAACAATATTTTGAGAAGTCATCAATGAAGGTAATAAAGTATTTCTTTCCACCACGAGTAATAATACCATTGTTATCACATATATCACTATGAATGAGTTCAAGCAAACAAGTTTCCTTTTGGACAAAATTTTGAAAAGATTTTTTAGGTTGTTTAGCTTGAACACAAACTTCACATTTTTGTTTCAATTCATTAAAAGATTTAGGAATAAAATCAAGAGTTATCATTCTTTTAATAGAATTCGAGTTAACATGTCCAAGTCTACCATGCCAAATGTCACAACATTCAACATTTGAAATAGATGATGAAGAAATGATAGAATTTTTATTAATAAAGGACGACATGAGATTAAGTTTAAACAAACCATCACACATATATATTTTCCTAACAAAAGAACCATGTTGAGAAATTACAACCCTATTGGACTCATAAACAACTTTAAAACCTTGTTGAACTAACAAAGCAACACTAATCAAATTTTTTCTAATTTCAAAAACATGAAAGAAGTCATCTAAAACAAGACAATTTCCTAAAGATAATCCTAATTCTACTCGACCTAGACCAATGATGCATACTAGGCTCCCATTCTCCATGCTTACAGTCCGTGTGCCACATTCCTAATATGATGAGAATAGTTTTTTTTATCAGCACACACATGAACATTAGCTCCAGAGTCAATCCACCAATCATTTGAGTTATAAATAAAATTTAACTTTGGGCTAGTGACATGATACTTGTTAGATGGGGAATCCGAGCTAGCATTAGCGGTGATAATATTAGCTTGAGGCTAAGACGATGATTTGGGATCAGATGTAGTGATTCTTAGCAAAATGATTATTTCTCCCATAGACAAAGCGAAAGGACTCATTTCCTTGAATTTTACTCTTTGGTTTATAGTTGTTATTAAAAGCCTTGTTTTTATTTTTGGAGAAATGAGAGCTTTGACCAATCTTATTATTATTGGAAAAACCAGATTTTTTGAAATTTTTTTGTTTAGGCTTATTAGAGTTTTCCACTAAATGAGCCTTAGCTTGAAGAAAAGGGGTTTACGAGAATCCTTTTGTGAAATACGATGCTTATCTTCAATTTGCAAGGTAACCAATAAAGTGAAATGATCAAGTTTATGCTTAAAAATTCTTGCAAATTCAAACAAGGAAGGAGGCAATTTATAAATTAACAAACTAACAAACATTATGTCAGGCAAAGTAATTTCTTTCATCTTCATGTCATAAATAATATTTTCAAATTCATGAACTTGGTCAGAGAAAGGTTTTCCATCTTCCATTTGAAAATAAATCATTCTTTCGCAAGATTATCTTCTTAAACCTTTTTTAGCAGAACCATATTTTAGTTCAAGAGCGTCCCATAACATCAAAGCAATTTTTGTATGACAAAATATTCTATGAATATTATCATATAGAACACTCAAAATATGATCACGATACAAAATATTTTTATCACTAGAAGTATCATCAGAAGAAGAATTAACTTTAACTAAGCACCTCATAATATTTTTCAGATTTTTCATTTCAAATAACAGAAAATAAACTCAGCTTTGTAAGTCAAAATTTCATCTGTTGTTGTTGCCAGCATAAAAATTTTTCACCATTAAATTTTTCTAACTTACTGCTCAAAAACTTTAAAATATCCATTGTAGACATGTTGATATTGAACAAGAAATGAAGTAATATTTTCTCTCTAAGATTGTGGGAAATAAAATTTAACAAAACACATAAAAAAATAAATACTTAGATTTATTAATAAGACTAATATCAACAACACAATGAATATTATAAAATTAAAAATAGAACAATTAGTAACAACTAATTAAACACAAAAAGTAAATTAAAATATTAAATAATTATTAGAGTAGCCTGGACTAAAGCACGTAGAGTACTACTGCATTAATAATTTTGAGTCTTATAGTGCGTTCCTCTCTCAGGATACGTGAACCCATTAGACTGTTCGAGTGCAGCGAAAAATCCTCGAACTAAAAAATACCGCTTCAAAAAATATATTTAATAGTGAAATAATTTTTTGGGAGAGATAACAGATAACTTGATGTGTATATGACTATCTCTTTTTCTCATGCACTAATGTATATACATAGGCACAATATTAAAAACCTTTCACAAATTAAACGGACGTGCACCAGTTTTTTATTTTTGCAAATTTCCGGATAACAGTAAAATTATTGGATGTACATTGTGCTAACCAATTTGAAAAATCATAAGACTTGGTCATAGAAAAAAATCATAACAATTTTGGTTCTTGAAACATTAAAATATTTTTTAAAAAAATTAATTAAATTAAATATTTAATTATAAGATAATTTCTCAACATATATTATATATAAGAACTTTATATTATTCTTTTCAAAAGTCAAATTCAGAGAAATCACATTTTAAACAACCCACCATAGAGGTATTGTCTCTTAATGAAAATTAGGATTTACTCCATCGAGAAACCAACAAATTATATACAAATAATTAGTATTTTTAAGTAGAAAAATGGATAAAATCAAAATTTCCTAAGAACAAAACATGATCATAAACCTCTGTATCATTTAAGATTCCTAGTTTTCTACGCTAATTATTCTTTAACAAGAAATAGAAGTGACCAATATATTATCTTCGAACCAAAAATCTAATTGCATTTACACCATTTTCAAATCAATTAATACAATTTTGAAAGAAACTTTTCTACCTTGTATCAACCTTTTATATGCTTATTAGTCCCCCTTGGTTGAGACCCTATATAAGTTTTACACTAAGGTTCTTAAATCGTAGCAGGACTTCGCTACAAATCCCTTAATCTAACCTTATAAACTTAGAGCATATACTATCTCATCTAAACCTATGGTGCATTCCTGATACTACTAGCATTTGTTATTATAGTGGGACAAAATCCAATTACCTTCAACGGTCGTAATAGTTAACTAATTGAGGAATCATGAAAATAGAAAGAATTTCATTTCGAGGAAGAGAAATATGAATACAATAAAAAGAAGCTAGAAAGTGATTATATAATTTGAATTTAAAATTTAATCTTAAAATGTGAAAAAATAAAACATAGTTCTAAATTTAAAATTTTCAAAACCTAAGCGTAATCAGTGAAACCAAACAAGGCTTAATCTAAGTGTCTCGAATGCTGAAATTATTTCAACTAACAATATGAAAAATAATAATATTTATTCTTCAAAAATTGTTCTATAAAGTTCTCATGCTTGCAATCATTTAAAGGCTTTGTAATATTACATATGATGATATGACGCAGAACTGACGGTATAAAATTTTAAAAATTCAATTGGAAAGGCATATGATACATTTTTTTTTTAATTTATCCGGGAAGGCCTATGATACTACCAATTTAATTAGTTGAATGTTTAGTTTAAATTAATACTCATCAACTTTTGAAGACATGTCAAAAGCCAGAGTTAGAACAAGCATTTACTTTTAAAGAAAATGAACCAATCAATCTGTTTTAGTTATAATTTAATCTAAGTTTAACCAAATAATTCACCAGATTCAAACCTGATCTTGAAATGCATAAGGACCAGCATGTCACCATGTGAGTATTGCTGTGTTAGAGAGTGGTGTTCTTTATTTCATCTCTCCTGTGAAGTTTGTTGTGAATGATGAAAATAATCATGCAAATTAAGTTTAATTCATAACAAATTCTCATGCATTCCTTGCCTACATACCTGTGTTACCTTTAAACTCATCTCCTCCATTCTCTCTTTCCTCACAAAGAGTGTTTGCAGAACAAAGTTGTTTGCATAAGATACCACTCTGTCCATGTCTTAAACTTGGCATTTTCTTTTTTCTTTCATAAACATTTTTAAATCCCTTGAATCCTTTGTGATCTTGGATTAATAGAAAAGATGGTGAGGTCTCCTTGTGAAAAAATCAATGTCAAAAGGGGTGTATGGACTGCAGAAGAAGATAGAAATAAGCTTGCATTTGGCTCCAAGCATGGATCTGGTAACTGGACTTCTGTCCCCAAAAAAGCAAGTTAGAGATTTTTTAAAACTTCCATGTTAATGGAATTTGTATGTCTCAATTTTCAACTTCTTAACTGTAAGTTTTGCATTTGGGGACATTAACACAGGGCTCAAGAGATGTGGAAAGAGTTGTAGGCTTAGGTGGAGTAACTGCCCCAGGCCTGATCTTAAGCATGACAATTTCACCACCCAAGAAGAAGATCTAATCATTAAGCTTCATGCAGCCATAGGTAGCAGGTGAATAATGTGGCCTAATTCTTCAACTTGGTCTTGCTTCCTCTACTTTTGGATTATTTTTGTGACTGAATGCAGCCCCCTCTATGACCATGTATTGTTGTAAATTGTAATCATCTAGCCCTTGCTTTCTCCTTATTTTGTTGCATATGCAAATAAATAGATCATATGTTTTAACCCTCAAGTTTCTTTTTCACTGTTCCAATTCTAGCCACAATCTCCTGTAGGTATTGGTCTCTTATTTCTCTATTGCTAATTGAATGTTCTACATATTTAGAGTTTGAAGACCAGTAGTATTGTGGAGTTATTTTTGACAATAGAAAGAGGCACAAATGTTAAAGAGAAAACCCCATGATGTTACTTACTTTTACAAAGCAAAATGTACCATCTACGTTTTTTTATATCCCAAGTTCATGACAAATATAATTGCTGACTTTTTCATGTTTAGGGCATTAGAATGATGGAAGTGTTAATATCTATGTGCCAGGTGGTCTATAATAGCTCAACAACTTCCTGGGAGAACAGACAATGATGTGAAGAACCATTGGAACACAAAGCTGAAAAAGAAGCTCTCTCAAATGGGGATTGACCCTGTTACTCATAAGCCCTTCTCTAAACTCATTGCTGACTATGGAAACATTGGGGGTTGCCAGAAGCCTAGTACCCAAATTGGGTCCATCAATAAAGACTTCAAGAACGCAATGATGTTGAAATCAGAGTCCCATCAAACACAGCCCCAAGAATTTAGAAACACCAATGACCAACCAAAGCTACCACCGACATCACCACCCAAAATTGAAACTACCAGAACTAACTTTTTGTTCAATAGAACTCATAGTGATAACATCTCAATGGATCTTGCCCAAGTCCAAGGCATGCCAATGATGTCAGATGCCTCAAATTGCTTAGACTTTGAGAATGGATCTGTGTTTGGGGAAGATTGCTTGTCAAAAACTTCATCACCATCTATTCCTTCTACTTGTTCCACTTCAGCTTTTAGTTGGAATGACTTTCTTCTAGAAGATGCTTTTACAACACCATTTTGTGATAATCATGAACATGACATGTTGATGTCAAAGGACTTGGTGAGCCAAATAGAGAATGTGACCAGACAAAGTAGTGACTTCCAATTTTCATCATCTTCTGACATTTCATTCATAGAAGCCATGCTTGACCAAGAAAATGAGATGTTCCTAAGTTTTCCTCATCTTATGGAGGAACCATCCAATTTGAGTTAAACTTTGAAACAATAATTTCACAATGACATATTGTATTTGATTTTATTTCCTTATTTTGTATTCTGGAACTAGTAATGTTATTTTGTTTCTTTTTGTCTTCAACACAATTATCGTAACAATGCTATACGAGAATGGTATATTCTCAATGAATTTCCGTTGACTATTATTCTAGCATGTTTGAGCTAAACAATTTAATGCCATGAAATTTATCACTGTTCTAGAACACTAAATGAGAAATCTAAAGTCCAAACTAAATTCTATAATTAATAACTAATAAAGTTTACTGTTTGAAATTCAATTTTTTTATTTATAAATATAGTTGAGGTAATCTTTACAACAAGTAATCTATAATTTTTAAGAACTTAAATTCATAAAAAAAAACTATATAAATAAATATGGTGACTTTTACTTTTATTTTTAAAATATCAAAATGTTAGATTTGTAGCCATTGAGAATGCAATATACCAACTAGTTGGGGCTGGGTTGCATTCCATGAATCTCTCGCGGATTTCAATTAACGATGGAATAAAACTAGTTGTGTTTTTAATTTACACGTCAGCAATCAATACATAATAAACTTGTTTCTTCATATTAAAAATATTATGCTTTTATTTTAAATCTGTTTCCTTTACTTTTTTTGAAGGTTTCCCATACTTTATAGTATTCTATTCCATAATTTATAATCGCTTTTTTTTTTTATAAAAAAAAAAAAACTTTAGCCGAGTTACCAACATTAAAAATGACAAAATAAATTGAAAAAAATAACATAAATAAAATATACAATTTTTAGTTTTTATCTTATAACTATTTTCAAAACTCACTATTGAATTAAAAATGACATATTATTAGGTAAATAAATATGTAGAGGTAGAGGGTCTTGCTTAGATAAAGAGGAAATTGAAGATGAGTGTTTGGTTGTTTATTAGAAAGGAAAATATATTGAAAATATTTGAAATTCTTTGTTTGCGTATGTATAGGAACGTATATAACAGACCCAAATTGTGGCGCGGAAGATGAGTGAGAAGAAAGAAGAATCAAATATGGTGGCAATTTCGCTTTACAGAGGAAACCTTCACCGAGTAGCGGAAGCGCCTCGTCGATGGCCAATGCCAGGCCCCAGAATCACTCTCAAAGACTTCAAATCCCTCCTCGCTCGTCGTTCCAAGGCACTCTCTCGCCTTCACGCTTCAAACCCTAACCCTAACCCTAACCCTAACCCTCTCTCCAACGGCTCCCACCCCGCCAATCCCGGCGAAGGCCCTTCCACCGCCTCCCAAGAGCACGAGGATCGCAAAGAAGTGCCGCTCGTCGCCGTCGCTTCCGCCAAGACACCGCTCGCCGAACCTGATTCGCTCAAGAGCGAAGAGCCTTCCGAGAAGGAGAAACCGTCCGTCGGTGTTGCTGCTTCCACGGAGAAACCGAATGAGCCGGTAACCGGTTTTCAGCGGTCTAGTTAGCGGAATTGTGTTTTGGTTTCGATCGGTTAATTTATGCGTTTGTTGGCTATTGCCGCGTGTTTGTTTTATGGCTAGGTCGTTGACAATGTAGATCTGCTTGACGAAGAGGAGAAGAGGAAAAAGGAAATTGAGGATAAGTTGCAAGGGTTGAATGATAATAAGCATAATCTGGTGCTGGTGTTGAAGCAGGTAAGGGTTGGTTTCCCCCTGTGAGCTTCTAAATTCGATGGAATGTGATCAAATTCGGTCAGATATAGAATTCGCTTTTCAATAATTAAGAAACACGAGTCCTTCGTTCTTTTTTATGCTGAGGATTTGGTATTAATTGGGAAAGCTATTTTGCGTTTGGGTGTTGCGTTGTGTCTTCTGTATATGCTTGCATTATGAAGAGAAATGCTAGCACACTTTTAGTATCAGATTCTGTACTATTGACACCTTTGTTAGAAATCACAAAATTCAACGTTTGATGAAATATTAATGATCCACCGAGATTTCTAAATTTTTAGCTTATTATTATTCAATAATAAAGAGCCACGTTTCATTTGTTCTTTTTATGCAGAGGATTTGGTATTGATTGGCAAAGCTGTTTCGCATTTGGGTGTTGTGTCCTATGTGTATCCTTGCATTTTGTGAAGAGAAATGTTAGCAATACTTTATTGTTGGCTGAAACTTGTTAGAAATCACAAAATTGTGTGGGCTCTACTTCTTATTTAATTAGTATCCTTTATGATTCCATAGTTTTCAGTTAGTTTTAACCAATGAAA